AAAAATTTCAGCATCTGGGCTTGGGCAAGGGTGGGCTACAGCCCACCCCAGCCCACCCCTATCTCCGCCAGTGTCTATAGTTGTGATTAGACCAACTAATAATTATTTACCTGCGCTTTAATATTCAAAATAAATAATGATTATGCAATAGATAATAAATTGTAAATTATTGTTAACTTTTATTAGGTCTGCCTCTTAATTTGAACTCGGATTCACTTACACTAGTTTAAATTATAGAGAATCATTCTTAAAAGTTCTTAGAAGAAACAAGTAAATTTACAATTTATAAATACTTAAAAGTAGTACCAAACAGCACTTAGCCCCTGTTTGGCCCCCATTATTGTAGATTTTTAGGGGGTTGAAAATTTTTAGAATAGTGATTGATGGGAGATGTATGGTTGAAAAGTTTTAGATTTGTGTGTATTATTATTTTATTTGATGAATGTATAGGAATAGTGATTGATGGGAGAATGTGTGGTGGAAAAGTAGTGAAAAGTTTTAGATTTATGTGTAATATTTTTTTATTTGATGAATGTGTGGTTGTAATGAAGAGAGAGAAAAATTTAATGTAATGTAATGAAATATAATGGGGGGGCAAACAAGGGCTTAGTAGAAAAGACATTTCCTTTTTCTTCACAAGAGAAAAATATTTGTCATCTTAGGACTCCAAATCATAGCGTTAAAATCGTAACATCATCATGCTTTATCTTATCACTTTCTCTAGTGTGAATTAGGCTAGCAATCTTGATGATAGTATTTTTGTTTAAATTAGGGTTAATTGATCATACAAAATACCAAAAATACGCGGTATCCTGGACAAGTAATGTAGTGATGGATAAGATATCGTCCCACGAAAACTATGTATTTAATCTAGTGTCAATTAATATTAAATTTAATCAAATAGCCAAGTATTGATTATCAATTCTACACTAATTTATTTAAATTAAACTAATTATTCTAATGAGCAAATTATGAGAGCTTTGTAAGATTAGATTGAATGTGAGTCATGCTTATATGATATATTTTGGCATCGCTGGTGATACTTCCTAGTTGATTGCAAAGGGAGATAGGGGATGAGTCTTTGGTGATTACAGGAGGATGGACCACTCGACTATGTCTGGGATACTCTGATTATTATCGCTGCCGGATGGGATACTTTGTAACGATCCAACCTCTCACCGGAACCGTTATCTTGCGTACTGTCCTCTCTGAGGTGAGATTCGGCCCACTTATTCCCTCACGGCTTTTTGACTCGTCCCCCAGAATTCAAACCCAAGACCTCCATCATATGGGAGAATTTAAGTTAAATCCTGGTACCAATTGGATAAGTTGTAACGACCCGGCCTCTCACCGGAGCCGTTATCTTACATACCGTCCGCTCTGGGGTGGGGTTCTGCCCACTTATCCCCTCACGACTTTCTGACGCGTCCCCCCAGAATACTTCTTGGGTGATCATAGGAGCAAGTAGGGGATGGGCCTCTAGTGGTCACAAGATGATGGTCCACTCATCGTGACAATATCAAATTGACTATTTGATTATTGACTATCGATATTGATATTGTGCAGAGCTCTATCCGATGCATAGTAGGTGGGTCAATGGCCCAATGAAAGATTTCAAATGAGATTATTTTGAGTCGACTTTGACTAATATCTAAGCATGATACATATTTAGCATAATATTTAAAGTAAATGGCATGGTGTCATATACTATTATCACTCATACTCATGATCTGCATGATTCTTGTTTACTGAACATTGGCTTATGTAGTTCTTACATTGTAGGTGAGTATGGAACTTCCTAGAAGATGTGGTTGGCTGTGAAGCTCTTACGAGATTCCAAAGTTTAATGTACATGGATGACGACTTGTAGGGTTATTTTATTGGACTCCAGTTGTATTATATTTTTGGGATCTTGTATGACTTTTGAAATAACATATAAATACTTTTACAACCTCAAGATAAATATGCTGGACTATGATTTTATAATCTTTGGTTTCGGATATAGTTTTGGAGATGCTATCATTTTATTAACACAAAAAAAGTGTGGGTGAATTTGGATGTCTAGGTCAGGTCATTAATTGTATTCCTACACTAGTTAGTATATTGTATGAATGAGGTGTGACATTCCACTTGCTACTTTTTGTGCACTTCTATTTGTTCTTTTCTTCTCAACCTGAATGTTGATTTGATTTTCGAATCAAATGGAACAAAATTATCGTGTCTCAAACTTTGCTTACAATACCCTAAAATGTAGGAGAGAAAATAATGTAGTTTTTGGTAATATGAATTTAAAAACTAATGAAACAATAAAAATTCATATCAAAGCTATAACTAATTAAATACTATAGTCCTCGACAATGGTACAAAAAACTTGGTTATACAAAATCTCACAAGTACACCTTATTCTGGGTAATAAAGTGATAAATAAGATATCGTCCCCACGTGGAATATGTATTTAATCTTGTGTCAATTAATATTATTATTAACGAATAGCCAAGTGTTGATTATCAATTCTACACTAACTTATATAGG